ATCCTAGACATGCTGCCAACTCTCTGTGTGTTCCAAGATCTTTAGGTCCATTTGATGGAGGGCTGTCTTTTCAGCACCCCCACTTAGGCAAGGAGAAGGTGGCAGCCAATGATGAAAGCTTTTTAAACTGAAGATCAGCTCTTAACATACGCTCCACAGTAAAGCAGTCAGTATCTCTCATCACAAGGAAGGCACCTCCAGTGCAACTAATCACTCAGCTCTTTACAAGAGCAACCAATAGTGGAATAAACTAAAACAATTAGATGGAAAACAAAAAAACTTAAGGATGGACAGTGCCATTTCATGTTAACTGATGGGAAAGTTCAATCCTTCCCTGGTCAATATACAGATCTCCATTTGTATTCTACCACGCTTCGAAGAATTCAAAGTCTGAAATTTGCTTTGAAAATGTGTAACTATCAAGAAAATCATGGAGAAAATTTAATAAGGCAAAACTAGCCCTTCCAGACATTAGAAAAACATGCTATAACATATCAATAATCAAAATCACATGACACTGGCTCCAAACTGGAAATAAAATAAACGGAATGTGTAAAGAATCCAGAAATGAATTTTCACTGCATATAAGGATGTGGTAAAGTGATAAACACTAAGTAAAACCACAGTGAGAAAAGAAAGCTATTTAATTAATGTTTATAGGAAAATAGGACCCTGATATAGAGAAAAATTAATTTAACCCAGCCCTCATTATATTTCTATATGTATAGATATAGAAATACCACTATAAATTCCAGTGGGACAGTTATTTTTTAACATCATGAAAAAAAGTAAAACAGAATAAAGTATTTATTCTATTTATAGACAAGAGAGGCTCTTTTCACTACTGAAGCAAAAGGTAAAATTAAAAACATTAAAAATGCTCACATACAATGATTTTTAAAATTTTTAACTTTCTATGAGAGCCATAAAAATGAGATAAAAGGTAAAACAATGATATAGGGGAAAACTTACCACCATAAATATAACAGATAAAGCATGTACCTAGATACTTGGTACCCATTAGGATGGCTATTATCAAAAACAAGAACTGGCAAGGTGGAAAACTGGAACCCTCATTCACTGCTGTGGGGAATATAAGTGCAGCTGCTCTGGAAAACGTTTCAGAGCTTCTCAAAAAGTTAAACACAGAATGACCATACAACCTATCAACTTGACTCCTGGGTGCCGAGCCACAGGAATTAAAGCCTGGACTCAGACACAGACACATACCTGTAAGGGTGTACAGGCTGTCGCGGCAGCCAAGAGGTGGGCACAATCCAAATGTCCATCAACAGGTGAATGACTAAATAAAACATAGTATGTACACACATGGAATATTATTCAGTCTTGAAAAGAAACAAGATTCTGGTACATGCTGCAACATGGATCAAGCTTGAAAACAATATGTTAAGTGAAATAAGCCAGAGACAAAAGGACAAGTCATTCCACTTACAGTATGAGGCACATAGAATAAGCAAATTCAGACACATAAAGTAGAATAGAGGCTACCAGGAGCTGGGGCTGGGGCTTAGGAGGAAAGGAGAATGTTGTTGTGTAAAGGGTACAGAGTTTCAGTTTGGGATGATGAAAAAAGTTCTGGAAATGGATAGTGATGAAAAGTTGCACAACATTGTGAGTGTACTTAATGCCACTGAATTGTACACTCAAAAATGGTTTAAATGGTAAATTTTGTGTTACAGATATTTTATCACAATTTGTAAAAAAACAAGTGAACAAAGAAACAAACAAAAAAAACACCTTGAACCTAGGATAAATAAATAAACTTCCAAATCTCCAAAGGATAATGAAACACTATGAAAAAAGTCACACAAGAGAAAAGAAACAGTCAAGCAACTAAAAATTGAAGAAATGCAAGGAGGTTAAACAACAAGGTGGCTCTTAGAGCCTGTTCGCAAACAGACAAACCAGTATTTACATAGTCGCAGAAAAAAATAAACCTCTCTACCCCCTGAGGAAAATTTTACACGGCCTTGTGACAGGACTGTTTCAAACATTTTGGAAAACCACCTGATAATATACATCAATCCCATTTAAAAATTCATATCCTTTGATTCAAGAACTTCATTCAAGAAGAAACAAAAGCTATGTGCAAAGGTGTCTACATCAGGATTTTGTTTTACAATAGGGAAATAACTCTAGGACTGAGGAATGGTTAAAGGAAGTATGAGGCCACTAAAAGGGGGTAAACAAAAAGACCCCAGATACATGGAAGCATGTATAAAAAATAACAGCAAATAAAAGAAAATCTATCCATGATGCATAATTATACCCATATGAAATTATTTGTAAAAATAAAAACTAGTATTGATTGAGAGCTACTTATCCCAGGCACCATGGGAGGCACTCTTCATGTTTTATATAATTTATTCCAGTAAAAACCTATGAGATACATCTACATCTTGTCCCAATTTTATTAACGAGAGAACTAAGGCCCAGGACGGCCCTGGGCCGTGTGCACATACTGCATGCACACGAGCAATCGGAATCTGACCACAGCCAGCGTGGCTCCCGACCTGTGTGCATGGAAATCACGTTTAAGGGAGTCAAGGAGAGATGTAATTTTTTCGGATAAAGTTTTAGATAAAAAATAAAAAAATAAATCATTTCACACAAGTCTCAATGAAGTGCTATACCATTACTCTCTTTCTCGATTCCACCACTTCTAAAACTTAGAAACATTGTATTTATATAGACGGGCTGCCATTCACTTTCGTTTTATAAAAAATGGTTACCTTACAGTTGTGACAACACAAAAAAACCACCTGGAACTCAGCTCCATTTTTGCCCCGAATATCTTTTTCATGCATAACTGCAGAGCACAGCCAAAAGGGCCTGCTCAGTAAACCTCGGATGTCTGTGGAAACACTTCCTGGAGGCGCGGCTCACCACCACCACCACTTTGGAACCGGTCCTCGCAGCTCCAAGGGCGCCGTGGCAAAGGATGGAACGTTCATCTCCTCAAAAACCCTTCTGCTCTTGCACTGCCACAGCGGGGGCTCCTGCCTGCTCCCCAAAGGAAAGGGAAGGTCCTTCTGTACCCCTTGGATAGACATTAAAGAGCCTACAAAGTCCAGGCTGGCTGGGAGGCAAAGGTGAGCTGTCATCACAGCAGAAGGGAGAGAGGAGAGAGAGGAGAGCAGCCAAGAGCTTAGTATTTTAACAGGCAGAAATCCCTTCAATGCAGTGACTGTCCTTCACAGATGGGTTTGGGGAATAGTTTGGGCATTCAGACACACCACCAGAAAACATTTCCTAGGTGTTTTGGGGTTACAGATATCTGGCTTTCTGAAGACATGACTGGCCCTTGCCTTGTCTGCTGAAACATAATGTTCCTGGAGATAAAGACAATATGCAAAGGTACCTAAAAATAAAGGTCAGGGAAATACACATCTGTTGAAGCGTCAAGAGTGACTCAAAGACCACCACCATGTATAGTCAATTTACTGATAGTTTTCGTAAGAAAAGCAGAGGTGGCTGAGAGAAACCAGTGTGCCTGGAAGAACCAAGCGGTTGGTGTATGGCCCAGGCTCCAGGAAATGGTTGGTTCCAAAGGGCCAGTTCCCCTTCCCAGTTTGTAAACACTGGCCCTCCCCGACGAGTGACTTATTTTTCTAAGGGAAGCATGTATACTGGAATTCCAGAGCTTCACAGGATTTTCTGTAACACGGCCCACGCCACCACCTTGCCGTCCCTTTCACACAGGCAGGAACAGCCACACTCTGACTGGATGGTTCCAGCATTCGGACACGGGGTGGCATGGCAGTGCCAGGAGGGCAGAGACAGCTCCTCCAGCTCATCCTAGTCCTCGGGGCTTAGGCTGAGCTGGTTAACCCAATTCCTTCAGGCAGTTCCCCAGCTCCGGGGAGAAAGTCAGGCCCCACACGCTCAGTGAGCCTTGCAGGACACAGGCCACTCCACCCCGCAGTCCATCGCAGGCAACAGCACAGCTAAGCACCACGAGCCATCAGAGGGCGCTGCAGCCCTCGTACAGTGCTGCCAGGGAACTGAGTCACTGAAAAGTAACCCCAGTGGATTTCTCCTACTCAAGGCGGTCACACGAAGGGCATTAACAAGGCCATGACAACACTCACGTGAAGAAGTTATGCTGCTCCGGATCACCCATCCTTCATGTCACACCTCTCCAATCACAATCATCTACAAAACTATTTCAGGTGTGTGTCACAATCATAGTGAAACACTGACAAGTTTATCAAAGTTACATCCATGTTCCTTCCCAACTGTCCCAAATTAAGACAAAAATACCAAATGACCAGCAATCACTAAAGATCTGACAGTTTAACACACTTAGAAAAATGAAGCTTTTTTTTTCTTTTTCCATTTCAATACACCCCTGACCTGATGAGACAGAAGGAAAGCATTACAAAAAATGAATTGTTTTGAAGTAAGTCCCTCCTTTCCCCCTTACAAGGAAGCCGAGCCCAGTGCAGAGCCAGTCTATGTCGATGTAGCGGGCTGTCTCTCCTCCAGTGGCACAAACACCCTCCCTGGAACCCCCACTGACGGTGCGGCCCTGCCCCTGGTTGGCATCCCACCCACCAACAGCGCTGCCATTTTCTCCACTCGGCTCCTAGCAACTAGACTTGGTTTTCTTTCTCCCTAAATCTGATCACTCCTTAAATTAAGGAAAGAAAAAAAAATGTGTCATGTATAAGTAAGATATCCTCTCCCAATAAAATCCAGTGTTGATAAGACAATGACTATAAAGATCAGTATTTTTTATTTCTGTGCAAAGGAATACTTTAGAAGAGTCCTGTGGAAATGAACCACAGCTATACAGAGTATGCCAGAGATAAAGGAAGATGGGTCAATGGAAAAACGGATGGATTCAAATTCATCTTAATATCAGAGTCTTGTCCCACTCACCCTACATTCTGACACAGACAGAATCCCGACTCCATGTGAAAACAGGTTAGAGGCCTGTGATTCAGTCTGGGCTGGCATTCCGGGCTGTCACTCACCTGTGCCATTGGCCAAGCCACTGTGGCTCGGGTTCTTGATGGGCTGGCGGTGCCGGTTGCTAGTACCAGGGCTTCGCTCGCTGGTTGCTGTGGTTGTTCTGGCTGAACCACCTGAATGTCTGTGCGTCCTGGGGGTTCAAAGTATAAAGCAGACAGATATAAATCACTGTGGAAAAAAAAAAGAGGGATAACCCACCTAAGTAACTATATTCCCTCCCTCATTAGTTATTGGAAGCAAGACCTTCAACAGCCCCCGTAGTCTTTGACTTAGCAGACACTGGCTCCGAAGAGAGAGACCCAGGTAAGCATCCTTCTTGGTAAAAGCCCAGAAGGCAACTTTGGGTAAACTTTTCCACTTGAAGTAAACAAATCCAGAGTAAATTGCTCCCACATCTGAAATAACTGGCAAAATATCCTGAGACCATCACATTATTTTTATTGGGCTCGAATATAAGAAATAAACAAGAATCAATGGACTACTTGACAGAGTACAGATGACATATTTCTCCTGTTACGCAAAGCCCGGAACTTATCCAAATCCATTTTCTCTATAGTTAGAAAGATGCTTCCCTCGGAACAGAAATCAGGGGACATTACACAACTTCAGCTAGTGCATACATGGACATAGCTCATCTAGAAAAGATGACCCCACAACCCATCCAAGCAAACGAGAGACAATGCGGAAAGGGGTCAGATCACAAGGGTAGCAGTGGGACCTGACAACGGCGAACCTATCTGACATCTTCAGAGAATACGAGGCAGGAAGTGTTCTCATGATCCTATTGTGACAACTTCATTCCTCAGTGACAGTGCCTAAGCTTCCACGCCTTTCAGTTCAGCAGTTTTGTCAAAGGAGATTATTCTGCCACTTAGTCATTATATAATACTTCACAACAGTGAGATGATTTAAAGAGTATCCGAGGATGGTAACTGTGGAGAGGAGGGTGTGGGTGGAGATAGAAGAGGGTATGGGGGGAATAAATGGTGATAGAAAAAAAATTAATTAATTTAAAAAAATAAATCAACAGTATCCAGGAAAGAAAAGACCACCCCTCTCCAGGCAGAGGTATAAAGGTCCAGAGAACAATCTAAACTATGTGACATGGAGCAGTGAGAATACTATTAACAATAAAAGTAATAACAATGACCATGGAAGTATATCCTGTGCATTGAGCTGCAATATTACATTTCAGGTACCCATGATTATGCACAAATCCAGGATTATGTCCAGTTGTGGTGTGTTGTGCACTTTACAAATATTATCTCATTTAACATGGCAACCCTAGAAGTAGCCTATTATATAATGCCCATATTGCAGACCAGAAAACAGACACAAAAAAGTCCAGTAGAGAGTAAGCAATCAAGAAAAGACTCAAACCCTGGATGGTGTTGCTCTGTGGGTTGAATGCCAGTCTGTGAACTGAAAGGTCATAGGTTTGATTCCCAGTCAGGGCACATGCCGGGGTTGCCAGCGAGGTCCCTAGGTTGGGGGCATGCAAAAGGCAACCAATCAGTGTTTCCCTCACACATCCATGTCTCTTTCCCTCTTTCTCCCTTTCTTCCCCTATCAAATAATTTTTTTTAAAGAAAGAGAAAAGACTCAAATTCAGGTACTTTAAGGTCAACATACCAAGCTCTCTGGTTGCAGCCTGGGGTCGGAGGCCCAGACTTTAGGTGAGTCCGTCCCTGGTGGTTCTTTCACTAATCGCTCAGCCAGTGGAGAGATGAAGAGCTCTAACAGAAAGTTCCCCCCACTGGGAGGCGCTGTCCCTGCCACAACACTTCTGCTGGTTGGACTCAAGCCCTGGGTGTAGGGACAAGCCTGCAGCACAACAAACTGGAAGGTCCCTAGAGGAAGAAGTGCCTCCACCAACTACCACCTCTAGCACAAGGAACAAATTTTTCCAACAAGATGGGCAATAAGCCAAAGTGTTCAGAGTGATTACCTTTCGGTGTTGAAAATGCAGATACCTTTAGCTTTTCCTTTGGTGCTTTTCTAAATTTTTCTAGTGTTCTTCATTAAGTTTAAAAAAATGTTTTTTGGGGGTGCCCACACAACCCAGAGAGAGAGAGAGAGAGAGAGAGGAAGAAGAGGAAGAAGAAAAAGGAAGAGGGAGTAGGAGGGGGAAGAAGAAGAAACCTAACAAACCCTGGAGTCCTTCTTACCTAAAAACTGTGTGGCAGTTAAAAATGGATTAGAGAGGGCACAGCTGAGCTATGGAAATAAAGATTTAATTTGGACTCTCTTTTTCCATCTTATTTTTCCCTGAGCTAATTCCATAAATCAAAAGCTGTCAACCACACCTCAGTCAAGAAAAATATTTCAAAGTCCCCACTTCATGGGAAGAAATGTTAGTATTAAGCCTTTTACCGCAACTCCTCATCGAAAGCTGAACGGGTGCAGACGAGTTCCAAAGGGAAGCTCAGGCTTTAGCCGCTAGTGAATGTGTCTGTGTGTTGAGGGCAGAGAGCTTGAGAGAGATAAAATTGGTTAATGGAAGGTTTGCTTCAGCCAAGAATCCCCTTAAAAGGACAAAATAGCCTCTCTGATTTGGTACTCTCCGTCCACGGCGGAGGGCTGTGTCCCTGAAGGAGCAACAGGCCAAGTGGGCAGCATGGAAAATGCAGCATCAGTGCTGTCACTCCTGAGGCTCTGACGAGCCCGTGATTATGTCCAGTTGCCAGGCTCTGTGTCCCCCGGCAGAGCAGCTGGGCATGACAACAGGGTGGGTTCCATTACTCTCCTGGCTCCTCCCTCTCTTCCCCGAAAGGGTGTGCGGTCAGAGTTGAGAGAGAATACTTTCAGAAATGTTTAACCACTAATGACAGCAGCTCACCCTGAATGACAGGCTGGAGTAGAGCCGGGATTAGCCCATAAACCAGGGGCAGCTGGGACCACTTTGCATGAACTGCCGCCTCCCTGCCTGTGGCCCACTGCCACCCCCGCTCCCCTCACCACCACCACCACCACCACCACCACCACACACACACACACACACACACGCACGCACACACATGCACGCACACACATGCATGCACGCACCCTCCCCCCGGACTCTTCCTTTGTCCCAAATCTGGAGCTTCCACTTTTCCTCTTGAACTACCTTTAAAATAAGATTCTCATAAGGAAGAGAAGGCCTCAGCATTTGAGAAAAACATTCTCTTTGGCAGTTTCCTCTCTTGGAGAACTCACCCAACCCTCAAAAGATGGGATTGTGTCGTGATTAAAAGCTGGCCCAAATGCTGAAACCACACACCATAAGCCAAAATAGTATCAGGACAAAAGTGGGGCGATGGGGTGGGGATGAACTGGGCTCCACCACAGACAGCCTGGCTTCAGCTCTGCCAGTGACTTCAACCTTGGCCCCATCCCTCCACCGTGTGGAGAGTGAGGGGTTGGGGGAAGTTATGCAGCCCCAGGGCAGTTGGAAGAAGGTAGAACAGTGAAACTCTACAAATGCTTTCAAGTCATCTCAATACAGACTCTCAGCTCTCTTTGCAGCAGGCACTTCTAATGCTGGCATGTTCTTACCTAAGTTCCTCCCTAAGAGACTGAGGCCTCCCTAGGCATCACCATCAAGGCCAGGGCCCAAGGTTTTCTCTCCAAGCTCCTCAGAGCCGATTTGATGCAGGTAAGGTTTCCAGGACCAGGATCCAGACTGTCCCTTGACATGCAAGTTTTAACATTCACAGTGTTGGCCTCAGTCCGCAGCTGACCCTGACAGCCAGAGCCTTGGATACCTTGGCACATCTCACGTGACCCTTCACGAAGGCCACTGAATTCCATTCTCACTATTCTCTCAGCACTAGGCCCAGATCTTGGTCTAGCAACAAAACAGAAACAGTCCCTGACCTCAAGGAGCTTACATAGTAGTAAAAATGCAGTAACTTGTAATTTTGCTCAGACACGAATTTGCATCACACCCTGCAATGCTGGTGTGTGGGAGCCACTTGGCTAACGAGTGAGCCTGGAATGACAACCTGGCATGGTCACCCCACTGCAGCTTTGTTGACCATTGTCACATATGCAATACTTTATGTGGAATAATTCAACCAACAAACTTTGTTTAGTTAAAAAAAGGAAGTCAGTCCTAGCATTGGTAACATTAGTGAAAATGAAGAGCCAAAAAAAGTGATGGCTCACAAGCCAGACACAAAATTTCCCGCTAAGTTAAAAAGTGAAATTCAAACTGTGGTGGTGACTCAGAATTTGAGATCAGCCAGTCTATCATACTCTTTTTTTTTTTAAGATTTTATTTATTTATTTTTAGAGACGGGAGGGAGAAAGAGAGAGAGAGAGAGAAACATCAGTGTGCAGTTGCTGGGGCCTGTGGCCTGCAACCCAGGCATGTGCCCTGACTGAGAATCGAACCTGCGATGCGTTGGTTCGCAGCCCGCACTAATCCACTGAGCTACGCCAGCCAGGGCTTAAGTCTATCATACTCTTTATGTGAAAATTGATTTTAAAAAATAGTTGGTAGCTTATTAAAGGTCAAAACTCCTGCTCTTCCAAGGACACTCAAAAAAATTCATAGTCTGGGAAAAAAAATTGTAAAATGCATACACAATAAAGAACTTATATCTAAAATATATTTTTAAAACCCTCAAAACTCAGTAATACAAAAACAACAAACCAATATAAAAAAGTAATCAGAAGATTTTAACAGATACTTCAGAAAAGATCTACAAATGGCAAATAAGCACATGAAAGATGTTCAACATCATTAACCATTAGGGAAATGCAAACTAAAACCACAGTGATATACAATTACACACCTACCAGAATGGACAAAGAAGGGGAAAACTGACAGTAACGAGTGCTGACAAGGAGGCAAAGAAACTGGAACTCTCAAACACTGCCAAAAGGAATGCAGCAGGGTGCAATCACTTTGTAAAAACAGCTCACAGTTTTTTATAAAACTAAACATACACTTAGCATATAAACTAGCAATCCTATTTCTTGGTATTTACCCAAGAGAAATGAAAACATATGTTTACATAAAACCTATAGGCAAATGTTTATAGTGATTTTACTCACCATTTCCAAAACTTTAAACAACCCAAAGTCCTTCACATGGTGAATGAACACACAGACTGTGGTGTACCCAAACAGTGGAATATTATTTTG